TTAAGTAGCGGGAGGTATGGGGTGGTTTGGGGTTTGTTTTTTTCTGTGGATGTGGGGGGGGGGGGGGTTCGGCTGAATAGAACCTCATGGTTCTCCTCGCGCTGAACTAAGCTGCGTTCAGGTTCGGCCGTTTAAACCAGTTTCAGCAGGTTTTCTCTCACCTGTCAGGGAAGTTTGGCCGCACCTGCCTCACCTGCAGGAAGTCCAGCTGGACCTCTCGGAACAGTTCCGGTGGCTCCAGAACCTGGACGGTACCGGTTTTAGCTCATTAAACTGCCGAACAGCGCCCATCGGAACCGCGCTGTCTCACTTCCTGGTTCCTCCCAGGTGAGCTCCGGTGTGTGACCCGGTTCGGTTCTGCGAAGTTCTTTTCTGTGAACTGGGTTGTCAGTCTTACAAGTAAACCCGGCTCGGTTCGGTTCGCTTTGGACTCTTACCTGCAGATGTACCACCTGAACGCAGAAACTGTCAGACTCGCAGTGCGCGTGCGCATGTAGGCAGGTAGCTGTTCAGCCTGGTGATGGTTCTGACCCGGTTTATAGATCAGAACCTGAGTATTTAAGTCTGACCGATTCCTCCCTGTGGCTCCAGGTTCTGGTCGGCTCGGTTACTCTGCGTGCCGCCCGGATCCAGGACGGCCATGTTGGACAACGTCCCCGTCGGTGAGTCCCGATTCCGGTTCTGGTTCCGATTCTGGTTCTCACGTCAGCTCATCGGTTCTGTCGAGTACTGCCGCTCTTTCTGTTTCAGTGTCGTCGGCGGAGCGCCAGCAGGTTCTGGCTGCTCTGGACCGGCTCCAGAACCGGCTGGTCCACAGGGAGGAGTGGAGCCTGAGCGCCGCCCTGGGGAGCCTGAAGGAGGCGCTGCAGAGCCCGCTGTTCGGCCGCGTCCTGACGCTGCAGCACTCCGTCCGCCAGCTGCAGCAGCAGGTGAGAAACGGCCGGAACCCGTACAGAACCTGGAACAGAACCAGGTTCTGTGAATGTTTATTCACATCCTGCGCCTCTGATTGGCCGAGCCGCTCTCCTTGTTCCACTTCAGACCAATCAGGAAGCACTAGATCAGTTGAAGCTCCGCCCACTGACTTCTGGGTTTCGGACCCAGTGGTCATGTGTCCTTCAGAGACCACTGTGATTCTTTTGGACCTCCATCCCGGTCGGTCTGAAGCTAAGCCCCGCCCACCAGCTGGAGAAAAGGGGCGGGGCCTGTGAGGACGTCTTGAGCTGAAGCCTGGCTTCATGCTGGCTCAGCCAATCAGATGTGAGTTTAGGCTTTTACTTCTTAAAACCCTTACAGTGACCCTGCTGCAATCTGATTGGCTCAGAGGGACCAGACCGTGAATTACAATATCAGCATCTGGTCTGGTCTCTGATTGGACGACCTGATTGCATAATCGCTGCGCCCCCTCAAGTTCAGATAACAGGGGGTCAACGGTCGCCACGATTACTTCAGGGCTCCACTCAGAGTAGGAACTTCCAGCTCCTGGAGTTTTTCTGCTTCTGTCTGGTTTTTATTTTCCAGTTGTTTTCCATTTGAACTTTGGTTCTGATCTCAGCAGCCGGGTCTGCTGGTCTGACTCTGGTGTGTTTCCAGTTGGATCAGGACCTCCTCCTGGGAGTGGCAGGTGTAGCCCCGCCCCCTGGTCATGTGACCAGCCCTGATTTGTATTCCACTGTGGCACCGCCTTCACAATAAACAACCTGCAGCCAAATTAAGGTAATGGCAGCCACAGCGGGCGCCTTCATATGCTAAGTGCTGCGAAGGTCACCGTGGCGACGGAGGCACGGGCCACTAATGTCCCGACTGAGTAACGGCCCGGCCTCGGCTGGGTCCTGCGCCGTCAGCCCGGCCCCAATCAGCCGCAGACCGATACGCCTCACAACGAGAGAGGAGAGGTCGTTCATACATCAGCTGCTGGAGCTGCAGCGCCTCGGGGAAATCGATGCTCCGCTTCCAAACCTTCCTCTGCTTCTACCCCCCGCCTCTGTCCACCCCCCACCCCCACGCCTTGTTTCTAAGTCCTCGCTGTCCTGATGCAACTCAGTGCTGCACTTCCTGAAAAGAGGCCCTGAACGTCTCAGGAAACATCCAACATCCATCCATCCAACCATCCTGGATGGTTGGATGGATGGATGACCATGGATGATCCATCCATCCATCCATCCATCCATCCATCCATCCAACCGACCAGGTTCCACCAGAACAGAAAAAGATGAAAATCAGTATTTAATGAAACCTGTACCCAACAGTCTCACTCCTCCTTCCTCTTCCTCCCCTCCGCCCCCCAGCTCAGCAGCTTGCCTCCTGATGCTCGCAGTGACTTCAGTTTCTCCAGACGCGGTCAGCTGATTATGAGCGCCGCCCCGTCCTCCGTCCTGACCAATGGCTCGTCGCCTCTCTCCCTTCAGGCTCCGCCCCTGACGGAGCGCCTGCAGCAGTGGATCCAGGAGGCGGCGAAGGTAGGTTCAGCCTCGGTGGCGTTGTCGTCGTCACGGCGACGTGTGCCGCGGGACTGAGCCGGTTCTGTTCGCAGGGCCGCCGGATCGAGCCGATCGTTCTGACCCGGCCCGCTTCAGGGGGCCTGGGGTTCAGCGTGGTCGGTCTGAACCCGGCAGGAAGCGGCGGCCACGGCGTCTTCGTCAAACACATCCAGCCGGGAGGAATCGCCGGCCGGTGAGGCACACCCGGACCCAAAGAGTGGTTCTGGTTGGTTCTGACCTGGGTTCTGTTGCAGGGACGGGCGTCTTCAGGAGCAGGACCAGATCCTGGTGATCAACGGCAGTCCTCTGGAACCGGGCCGGAACCACCAGGCGGTGCTGAGCTTGCTGCAGCAACCTGGCGAGACCGTGGAGCTAGTGGTGGCCCGGGAGTGGGACCGGGACCGGGTCGCACCAGGAGGTCCAGCTGAAGGGCCAGTCGGCAGGGTCAGTGGAATGGAGCTGGGTCCTGCTGGGTTCTGATGAGTTCTGGTGGGTTCTGCTGGTCAGGTGAAGGGGTTCTGTCAGTTGCTGTGTTGGTCGTTCCGGCTCCTCCCCAGAACCGAGGCGGGTTTGGTAGGAGGCGCCCCATCACACCTGGAGGTGTCTTTAATGCCACATTTCTGCAACAGAGTGAGCCCTCCTGTCTGTGAGGATCTGTGATGCTGCTGACTTTGACTGACTTCAAAGTCAGAGGAAATGAAGTCGGCGCTGCTGAGAGGCTGAGAGGAGGAGGAGCGATCCATGTCGGGAAATAATTTCTCAGTCGCTGCTGGCCATCGCACAGACCCACTTTAGGGTTAATCTAGGGGCTTGGGGGCCACCAGGGGCTTTGGGGCCACCAGGGGGCTTTGGGGCCACCAGGGGCTTTGGGGGCAACCAGGGGGCTTTGGGGGCCACCATTGGGTTTGGGGGCCACCAGGGGCTTTGGGGGCCACCATGGGGCTTGGGGGCCACCAGGGGCTTTGGGGGCCACCAGGGGCTTTGGGGGCAACCAGGGGGCTTTGGGGGCCACCATGGGGTTTGGGGGCAACCAGGGGGCTTGGGGGCCACCAGGGGCTTTGGGTGACACCTGTGGCTA